CCTACTTTGTGGTGCCTGGCAGCAGGAACCAAAACACACTCCAAGTGCCGTACACGTACCTGCACCCTGCAATCCAGGCGCTGGGTGCTGCCAGACTGTGGTTTGGTTCTTTGGTGCTTTTCAGAGGTGGGAAAAATAGTCTGGGTGCCACATGGCAAATAATGATGTGGACTGAGAAACCTGGGCTACATGTGCAAACACTTTCACCCACAGGTGCCACAGCTAAACACCTCCTTCGCAGCATCATGGCTACAACTCCAGAGAGATTCAGATGCCTGAGCTGCCGACCATTCAGCCCTCCCTCCACATCACAGACTGCAGCGGCAGCTCATCTCCCAGGTCAGGCCCTGGCAGCTCTCGCACCCTGGTGCGGCAGCAGCTGGACACATGTAAGAGGCTGAACTTGGAAGCTTTCACTCACACAAGGAGGGGAGGATGTGGGCTGCTGCAGGAAGCTGAAATGGAAGTGGTCCCTAAGCTCAGACCCAGCCCACGAACTGGTGAACCGGGCCATGGTGGCGGAGGGCCAGATTCTGCCCCGGAATGTGCCAAGTTCCCATTGAAGTCAGCTTAGGTCCTGGGCTGAGCTTTGCTCGGCCACGCTGGCAGGCACGGCTGCTGCGCTGGGACTCCACATCTCTGGCATGTTGTGGGTGCGATACCGCAGGCAGAGGTGTCAGGGAGGCTCTCACACCAAGAGAGTTGTTAACTCTGAAAATGGAGGGGATGAGATGCTTCCAGCAGTCACCTGCCCCGCACCCTTGCTATAAATGCACTAGGCAGCTACAGGAAGAATAAATGCTTCCCCATGCAAAGACCAACAGACCAGCTCTTTTTAGCAAATGCTGGTTACTGAGGCATTTCCTTGCTGTACAATGGGGGCACACCATGTGCACTCACAGCAACTGTACACAAAACATGGGGGGCAGTGTGGACCACAGAAGCTTGAAAATTATCCCACTCCTGATTTTCAGCTTTCTATTCAGCCTATTCTCCAGGCTGAAACTTTCCTCATGTATCATGAAAGGAAAAAACTTTCAGGAAAAACAATAGTGTGGGTTTGATCATCAGTTCCCTTTAACTGCAAGTAGGACACTAAATGCTGTAGCCATGTGTATTATTGCCACACAGTACCTGTGTAAGCAGTATTTCCATATTTCAGGACCTTTGTATATATAATAAAAAAAAACCCTACAGTGCTTTTACCTTAAGCAAGATACACTCAACTATAACATGTGCAAACACCATGTTTTAACTTGATTTAGGGATAGCAATTCTATGGGCTCTGCAGAATCTCCTTCGGGAGAAGGAGGACCACACAGAATACACCCAAATGCTGATTTACATCCCATTTCACACATTCGCAGTTTCTCTCTTGAGACCTGCTACCGCCAGCTGTCAGATAGTTCCCAGCACATCCCTGCCTGCCTGTACCATCCCCAGCAGCTCCTCTCTGGATTGCCAGCCTGCCCGGTCTCACTGCATGCATCGTGCTTAAAGTGCAGCAAGGCACCCAGAAACACCGTGGTTTGCCCAAGATCTCTTCCCATTTCACAAGAAACCTGCCAAAACTTCAATTATTGGGTCAAACTACCCGCTGTTTCTGCAAAGCCCATCTGGGGCCAGGCGCTGGGACGGGTACCACCACAGATCTAAGGACGCCCACGACACCACGAGGATGGAAGCCAGCTGTGGGTTTATCTGAGTGCCATCGCACAAGGCAGGGTGAAGCCAGACCTGGAATTGAAGCGGCACCCCTGCTCGGCAGGTCGAGCATCCTTCGTCCTTCGGTGAGCTCTGCGCAGAAAGCAAGCAAACCAGCCCCCTTCTCCCTACACCACAGCCGCTGGCTGGGGAGAAATAAGGCCTGACGCCCCGATTCGGGGTGTCTCCTACGCCTTTCTAGTCACTTTTAGGTTGCCGACTGTCTGTCTGCTCTGCCAAGGAGGCTGAGGGCCGCGCTCGGGGCCCCTCCAGGGCCGGGGCACCCACCCCCAGCCAGGGTCGGGGTGGGGGAAGACGGCGGGAACCGCTCCCAGCCCAGCCCGCGGCCCCGCTTACATAAAACCGATTTTTTCCCCAGGGCGAGTCTCGAGTGTTTCCTCTCCCCGCCGGGCCGGGACAACCGCTCTCCCGCCTGCCCGCGCCTGGGAGAACAGCGCCCGCTGCCACCCAAACTTCCCTCCAAACTTTTATTTAAAAAAAAAAAAAACCAACAAAACCAAAAACAACATTCCCCCCCCCGCTCCACCCCTCTTTCTCCACACGAAAAGCCCCGGCGTGCCCTAGCAGCCCCCCCCCCCCCCGCCGCCTCCCCTCACGGCGGGGCAGGTGCCCGCGGGGCGGCCAGGCCGAAGCGGCAGCGGAGCGACGGTACCTCCAGCGTCCCGGGGCTGGCGGGGTCCCCGCGGCCGCGCCGCCGCCGCCTCCTCCTCCTCCTCCGGCGCCGGCCGCCTCACTCTGCGGCGCGGGAGGCGGAGGGAGGGAGGAAGGAAAAGGAGCGGGGCAGCGGCGCGGCGCCTCCTCCGCCACCGGGCCCGCTGAGGGCCCGCCCGGCTCGTCCCGGGGCCTGGCGCAAGGTGAGGGGCTGCGCCTGGCCGGGGGTGGCCGAGAGTGAGGGTCCGCGGGCCGCAGGCCTCGCACGGCCCCTCGGCTTCATCCCGAGGGCAGAAGCCTCCCGGCACGTTGGGCACGGAGCCCAACCCGCTGCGGGGGACGTGGAGGGAGAGCGGGAGGAAGCGCCCCGGAGCAGCCCCTCTCTTGGGCTTCTCCCCAGCGAGGACCCACTCCTCCATCAGTGGTTGGTGTCCGCCTGCTCCCCAAGCTGCCCCTACGCGGGTGTATGCTTTTCGGCTTTTTTTTTTTTTTTTTTTTTAAGGAAAAACCAGGCAGTGGGAGTTGCAGAGGCTGAAGCGGGACCCTCTCAGCTACAGCAGATTGTCTGGATGGCCTGCCTCCCTTGCAACCAGCTGCCATGCTGGCACAGGCACCAGGCTGGCATGGGTGGATGCAGCAGGGCTTACCCATCCCTCAGCATCGCTCCTCGACACAGGCCTGACCTTACCGATAACAGTCAATCTGAGACTTCTTTCTCTGAAAGTTGCTCCTTCCCCAGATCGTGGCAGGAGTTTTCTCATTTCTGGAAAAGCAAAGCAAGATTGCGCTCTTTCTTCCGAAGGTTAGACGTGCCACGCTCCAGCTGACATGTTGGTGTCGGGTACATCTTTTCCCCATCACAAATCCCTTCATCTCCAGGTACCAGAAACCTCTCACAAGTCTGGTACTGCTTTACTTTCCCCACCCATTTGACTTAGTAAATAAAGACCATTTCTGCATGTCTTTTGCTTTCTTATTCATAATAATAAATTACATACAGAGGGCTTTTTTTCTTCCCTGGTTTGTACCAAGAAATGGGTCTGTGATCATGATCTGAGGATGGAAAAACCCATAGCTGTTCACTGAATGGCTGGTGCAGTCTGAGGCTTGCATGCAGTAATTCTTTGATGTGATTATGGAGACATAAGAAAGGTCTTCACTGGTGCTTTTACCTGTGTGCAGGTCCCCATTAATCTCCAGCCAGAGTAGTGTTACCTGGTTTTCATACCATTTCCACCCCTTACCCTGCCTGCCGTCTTTTATGCCTCGCAGCCTGGCTCTTACCCAGACCTTTCTTACAGCTTTTTTAGCACAATTGTTTGAAAACCCACTAAAATAACTTTTTTTTTCCTTTATTTCAATAGAGACTTTAACTTCCCCTAGCAAGAATTTCTCCGCACATTCAAGCTAGTGGTCTTTTTTTTTTTTTTTTTTTCCCCCACAAATCTCATCCCACTCTTCTTGGCATATGTCTCCACTATGTCACTTACAGTAATTCCTTTGTATCTCCAGCCTCCCTTCTTCCAAAGTCTTAAACCTGAGGGATGCTGTTAGCAAGAGAAAAATTAAAGGAATTTAGCTTGGCCTGTGTGGGGAGATGACAGGTATGTCTCACGTGTATTGGATGGGAAGAGAGTTAAAAGACAGTGGTATGGGTATGTTCTTGCTCTCTATCTACACTGTAGATGAGGGAAATAAGACAGGAATGGGGACACATTTAGCAGAGTCATACTGGAGATGGAAGTGTCTCAAAGGGTTTTAGGAAGCAGCCAGACAAAGGCAGGAAGCCCCATCTGGCAGTGCAGTCCATGGTCCCTTCAAATTCTCCATTTTGAGGTTCACCTCAGAAGGCAAGAAAGATCCATCCTACTTTGAACTGCAAGCAGCTGTGCTGGTCCCTGCCAGCTGCAGCTCTGCTCTCCTTCCCCCTCCGCTTACTGTAAATGGCACAACTTATAAAAGTGACTGCTTAAAGGATAAGCTATCAGACACACGCTCTGGCTTTTACATATAGAGCACTGACCACATTCGGCACTTTACTTTTTTAAAACAGGCCAATTCTTCACAAATCGCAGAAATGAATCCAAATTCAGGTTCCTTCACGATCCCCCCATGAGATACTGAATCCCCAGATAGATGCATGTAAGCATGCACTCCCTGTTCAGTTTTGCCAGGTAGAAAAAATACCTTGAAATTATGTTGTCTCTTGTGAGCCCAGTGTATATTTCTGCTTGTGGAATACTGCTGGGTCACTGAATCAAGGGGAACAGATACAATGCTGTTCAAGGAAGAGCCTCCGGTAACTACAGCAGTACAGGCCCATTTTGTTTTAGAAGCATGAAACTGTAACCCCTTCCAGTGTTTACTTTTATTGACACAATGGGCCAAATTCAGAGTGAAATAAAAAACACTGACAGGAGGATTGAGTTGATTGGGAGTTGCTTGCTGATGGAAGGGGTCTTAACACATGCATTGGAGAGGTCAGAATTATCTTAAAGCACTAATCAGTGTAAATAAAAAAGCATTCAAGTTACTCCTCTGTTAAAATTAGCAAAGTCAATAGAAGTTTCCTGCTCCCCCACCTTCCTTTCTGAGTAATATCAATATGTAGCATTTAGAAACCATTTCACAAAGTTAAACATTTATTAGGAACAAGAACTATTACAAAAAGATACCCATAGTCTAAATATATACATGAGGTTTAAACATAGCATTTTCATGTACCCTTAGCTATAAAAATACATTAGATTAACTGTATCCTAATTTATAAATATAGTTCTTTTTTTTTTTTAAAAAAAAAAAAAGTAGTATTTCATATGAAAGCCTTACTGTGCAATGAAAGAATATATACCCTCTAAGGGGTTACTTTAAAGTTAGTGTCTAGTGTTATATAACTTAGAAAATTCAGTGTGTAGAGTCAAACCCTGATTTATACAATAAGAGATACATTGACTTTTTTAAAACTTGATAAGGGAAAAAAAAAAAAAAGAGGTGAAATATATATCATACATATAAAGCCAGAATAGTAGGATTTTAAGAATTTCAGATTATTTCAGTTTCACCACTGTTTATGAAAAATTAATACGGAGATACATCAAGATAACCAGCCTTTTACTGTTTGCCTTACCTCGCAACTGTCTGACTGCAGCCCTAAAAAACCATCAAGTAGGCAAAAGTAAAATGTTTGTCTGAGAAGATGTTTGCACTCTACGTGTTTTATAAAAATAGAAACTTATTTACAATGTTCCCATTTGGCCTTTCATGGGGAAGGGAGGACATTTTCTTCACTGGATGGGGAGATTTACCTGTCTCACATACCCAAGGAGGACAGGCACCTAGTTATACACAACTGTTGGAGGTATGTCATTTAAGAAGTTAAGCAGTGTTGAAGTGCAATTTCAACATTCACTAACTAATAAGGAAGTTTAGGCTCATGCAAACTTTTTCCTTACTTATCGCCACCCACCTTCCTTCCTCCTCCAAAAAAAGCCCACTCATGCAACAGAACTTGTTGCAGACTGGGTGTGTATCTGAGCAAAGGAAGGTACCGGTTAAATCCTTGCTTGTATCAGAGAATAGAGGTTAGACCTGAATTTCTGCTTTAAGCCCTGACATCCTGAAAACTGCAGGCAGCAATCTCTACCCGTGCTCCATGGAGATCTGTTGATATGCCACAAGGAACCTCTATCAGTTTGCTCTCAGAGGACAATCCCAGCAAGATCAGGTAAACTTCCTAACAAGCTGACACCACTAACTCCTGCATACTTACAGCTCCTGCGGACATGGAACTTCCCATACGTTTGCCAGTGGTTCTCCAGTACAGAATCAGGAGGAGGAGGCAGAGGGAAAGTAGTGAACTCAGGAACTGAAGACAGCATGTGGCTTGTCGTTAATCTCATAGTATCGTCTGGGCGTGCAAAGAAGTTACTGCAGGAGGTACTAAGCCATGAACCTGGTGTGACAGCCACTGCATGGATCCTATTCACGTATGTGCATGCTTATATAGCTGTAAGCAAGAGATCATTCACGACAGTTTATTCCTCAGTGAAGGATCAGCTACTCTGTGCTTGCCACAAGATGACAGCACTCACGAGGACAATTACTGCAAAGCTGCTGACACATTTATGTCCAGCCATAGCTTATTCCATGGTAACTGGTTTGTACACCCACATCTTTAGCACTCAGTGTGTGCTTGGGAGCACCTGCCTTTTCATACTGTACTTCCAGAAATTTATTTTAAGCTACATTCATATGGGATAAAGAAGCAGTGAGAGCTTATAAGTTTTTACTCTCACAATAATAGCTCTGGCTCAAAAAATGAAGAGATGTTCACAAAGCCTGAAAGTTACAGAGAAGGAGAGAGCAGGACAGCTTCTTGTAGCTCTTCTGCTCCCTCCGCCAGATCAGAAGGACTGGCGTGGGATGTTTTCTGTGGGATATCTACCATGCTACATGCTTAGCATTCAACTCGGTGTCATCACGGTAAGTACAGTGCAAAATCCTCTTGCAAAAAGTGCTATAGTGAAGGTTTGAGATACAGTTGTGACTCATTTGGAGCCAAAAGGGTTAGCAAGTCAGTAACTTGCATTTGCAGCATGTGGAATGTGCGCACACCAAAACATCAGGTTCCAAGGACACTTAAAAATCTAGCTCTGTTGGGTGAAATACTGGCCCCAAAGGAGTCCTCTGAGAAACTCCCACAGATCTCATTCAGGGCTAGAATATCACCAATATGGAGAATGCATGTATCTTTAGAGAGACCAAGATAGCTCTTTCAAAGAGAATTTCTTTACAGAGCCTTCCATGAAAGCTTGCACTCCCATTCCAAACTCCAACTGCAATCTTCACACAAACTCCGCCAACTTCAGTCAAGTTGTATTAACCCTACCACTCAAGTCCATTTATGCCAAGTGAAACCCATATGCCTCTGAAGGTGTTTAACAGTCCATGCTACGGTACCAGCAGTCCCTCTAACATGCCATTGATGTCCACGTCCTTCATGGGTACAGTTTGAAAGCAGATGTCCTGCAAACACTGTGACTGGCCAGCATTTTAGTCACAGGTAGCAGACAGATGTACAGCCAGGGACTTGTACAGCACAAGTGTGTGCTATGCTGCCAGTAGGGCCACTTAAATCAGTTTTTGAAGAGCCACTTGACAAAATGGAGTCCAGTAGATTCAGTGTTTCTAGAGGAATAAAGTTAGGTGTTTTCATTTTCCTTCCTACCCCTCCCCTCCCCCTTGCTCTGAACACATCCCCCATGTGTCACATTCAGAGTGTCAGCATTTTAGGCCTTCTGTTTTCATGGACTCTTCTGGGAGAGTTTAATGGTGACTGTTTTCACTTCAGTATATTCTGCCAAAGCATATTCACCACTGGAAAAGAGAGAAGAGGGAAAGGGACAAACAACTGTTAATGTGTACTTCCCTGAGATAAGGGATTTCTACACAAGTGCATTTTAGCCTCTGATCAACAGCTGCTGTAGATGACATCAGGCCATTAAAACCAGATCTGAAGTAACTTACACCAGCAATGAATTTGGCCCGCCACCTCTAATAATCGCTAAGTACATGCATGTAAGTACACACAACTACACCCTGTTGTAAAAGAAACATGGAATGCTTCTTGTCACAGTAACCCCCAAGATGACACCTTGTGACTCTGCCTAGTGAAAACCAAGTACTATTGTGAGAACACATAGAAGCATTCACGTAATAGTTATCAGTGCTTAGACAGCAATTAAAGTTACTTTTTCAGTGAAAGCAAGCTTCTATGCTTCTATCTACAAGATAACGTATAACCAAGAGGGCACAGTCGCTCCAGAAACGCATACTGATGACAGCCCCCACCACTGCATTATGTGTTGGTTGGTGGAAACTGGCTCTATTCCCATGCCTGGCCCAAGGCATAAACCCCTGACATCCTTTAATTAGCCAGGCAGTCAGGCAAAGTAAACCATAAGGTCTCAATATATATGTCCCATTTGAGGATTCATTCATTTGCTGTGCTGAGCCAGTGAGGCATCTGAATGTCTCAGAGCAGCAGATGCTCCAGAACAACTATTGGAAATGGTTAGTGGAGATAAATCTGGCTTATGAAAGAAAAGGTGTATTAGATTCCTCTGGAGTCTTCTGAATGGTGTAATAAAGCTTGCCTCTTTCCTATACAAGATTTAAGTCAATTTCTCAGCTCTACCTCTCACTTATAGGGTGACCTTGGTTTCAGAATTTCTGCATTAGTAACTAATTAGAGCTGGAATATCTGGTGGCCATGCTGCAACAGGTCAGGCTGGGGAAGAGGGACAGAGGGTCCTTCTGTAGTTTAGCACCAAGCTTGGAAGGTGGGTGGTAGAATGATTCTGGAGATCATTTCTTGTTGTTCTAGCACCAACATCAGAAAGTCAGAGGTGCAGACAGGTCCAACTAGGAGCAATGATATAGCAGTCGAGGGAGGCCCAGGTACCACCAAATAAAGATGGAAGAGGTTTGGGGTGGATACCAGTGTCCCCAGCCAAGGTGCCATACCTATCTCTTGATCTAAAAATCTAATTAGTGAGGAAAAATGCTTGCAAGCAGAATTGACTGAACTGGAGTTATTTAGAGCTTATAAAGTGGATGAAGACACCACTCATATTCTCACATCTGTGCTTTACGATCGACGCTATACTGGCTTGGCACCTCCCTGTGCAGCATACTGCAGGTCTGGTAGTTTAAAAGCAAATTCAACATTATTTTCACTGAATCACAATTGCTATTGCATTCACCGTCCACATATAAACAAGATATTGAGCAAAACTTACAGTTCTCTGCCATTGCCTGACATTTTAAAGCCACCAAAAGGAGCCTGTGCATAGAGCGCATTGTAACAGTTGATCCTACAATAAAAACATCAATTGTAAAAAGACAATTCAATACCAAGAAGACGATGACAACAACAATACAAAAAAGGCTGAAATCTGTCAGTTTTCTCTTTATGCAATTCACTCACTTGAGAAATCAGATTTTAGCAATAAAATCTTAATTTTGCTACAGACACAGAAAATATTTGAGTGGTACTCAGTTTGATCTACATATCACTTCATAGTCTCTAATGGCTAAGACATTCATGCCTGAGCTAGAATTCATGCTGTGGTTCAGAGCCATGCTTAATATAAGTACTCCAACCTATTCCCTAGTTTAATGAAGCACATTCTGAAACAAACATATTTTCTCAGAAAACTGTCTAATCACTCACAAGCAGGCCCCACCATCCACTTCCAAGTATCGAAAAAAGCTGGACTGCATTAGGCAATTGTGTCTCAGTAAAATGAAAGCGTTAGCCCATTTCTATAGACACTAGGTAGAAAAAGTTAATGCAGATACTTCATCAGCATCTCAGTAAGATCAAATGACTGAAGAGAGACAGGAATGGCTTGGTGGTGTAGGTACCGCACGTGTATCCTCCAAAGCCCAACATCCCATTTTTATGTAAATGTTACTCAGAGGCTGATTCTTCTGGTGCCAACTCCTGAAATCAATCCTCTGTATGCATCTAAATCAGACTTCAGATCAAATTCCTATCTTGAGTGGGAAACCAATCAGGATTCCATCTTTAAAATAATTCTAATAGGAGAAAAGAAATTTTGTAAGCAAAAATAGCTCCTTATTCTGACAGTGGTGTGATGCCATCTACTGTTCATCCTGATTTGTGCATCTAAGACCCCATCTGATGCTAACTAAAGATCATAAGAATTGCTTTTTTTCTACATACAGGATTTTTGAAAGGCATCATGTCTGGTGGAACTTACACAGCCCCTTCATTTTCAGAGTTTTCCAGATGAAGAACTACATCGATTGAATAAGCAAACAGTCCATTTCTTGCCAGACTGTCTGGTCCTCCCCACCTTATTTTGATGAATGGATGTTGCGTCCAAGCAGAATATCAAGAATTAAGCAGACTACTAATACATCTTACCTTCAGCACTTACACATGATTCCAAACCATACATCCCTTTCCCCTCCCAGGAAGCAAAATCCCAGCCCATGCTCTGGTCCCACACTGCTTACCAGACAGTTCCCGATTGCAATGCAGAAGCTAGCGTTAATGCTCTGTCCAGATTCTTCGTGAACACTGCAGCTGTAAGCCCATACTCAGTACTGTTGGCTCTTCTTATGACCTCTTCTATACTCTTGAACTTCATTATTGGCTGAACTGGCCCAAAAATCTGCACATATCAAACATTAGTACAGGAAAGCCTTTGCTAATCATTGTAATTTTGAAGTAATCAGAATCAGATGCTTTGTTTGGATACTATATTTAAAATGTTATACACTAGCCTTCTAGAAGTCACTGATAGAGTCTCTTTAAAAAGTACTCATTAAACTGACTTCAAAGGAAGTACAGTGATGTGCTGTAGTAGTTAATGTATGCTAAGATCCAACAACTAAAGGATCATATATAACAATCAAAATAAGCAGAGTTAGATCTGGACAAGTTTCAAATGATTCATCCTTAGTCCATTTACAACTCTCCTTTTGAACTCAGAAGTTGAGTATAGTCAAGAAGTAATTAATGTATTTCAAAGACTGCAAGTTTTCTTCCTTGGTTTTAACTCCGATTGTCGTATGTGGTTTATTTGCATGCAGTGCATTTACCACGTATGGGTTTGACCACAGACTTAGCTTCCCAGGTTGCTGGTATAAAGGCAGCCGGCCTACACAATACCTCCCAACTTCTGGGATGGAGTCTCTCAGCAAGTACAGTACCAAAGGTGGGGCCCTTTTCTGGCCTGCATGGTCCTGTACTACAATAAACCCCCACCAAAGGTGAGATACAGTCTCACTTGTGTCACCTTGAGGGCCTGGCTAAGCAGTCTGCCCAGCCTTTAGGCTCATACAAGTGTTTCTAAATGTCTTTGTTTTGGGAGATCCAGGTACTTAACTGGAGCCTTGAACCCAGGCAAGGGATGAACGTGCGTTTGCAACAAAACTACAAATGAATGAAACTGGATAAGCTTCATGAATCATGACTTGGGATTTGGAGTCAGTTCATTAAAGAAAGGTCTGTCATGGGATTTTCAGCTCTTTTTCCCTCTATTTTTAGACTGCAACTCATGCCCAGGCTGACTGATATCTTTCCCAGGTTCCTTAGAGATTCTGTGGCAGATCTGAGACATCTAAACATTTTGCCAGGAGTGAACAGTAAGCAGGCCCGTAAAAAGCACTAGGCTAAACTATAAAATACAAGTGCCAGTTGGGCTCTGGCAACTACTTATTTTCCATTGGGGAACATGATGAAAAGTAGATTAACTTGTATTTCAAAGGAATATCACAGGATCTAATCACATGCAGCTTGTTCAATTTTTCTGCATATAAATAATGAAAGCCAGAGTATTAGATCTGCACTTTGCTGGCTTTGACCGTGTTTTCATATAGGAAAAAAATAGTCAGCCTCAGGGGATTTCACCATGAGAACAGAATCTGAGATTATTTCAGATACTAAGGCTACTTGAGAAAAATTCTTCAGTTACAGTACAGTAGGGCCATTCCTTCCCTCCTCACCAGCTTCAGGTCCTAGAGTTCTTGTCGCACCTTTCTGCAATAAAGCAACTCCTTTTTTACGAAGTAATGGGGTAAGAACACGCATCATACCGTGCTCTGTCACTTTGGATCATCATCTACCACAGCTGAGCAATTTCAAGTCCACTTAGTAGGGGCTGCATAAGAGCACACAGCATGTACAACCATCCATCTGCATAGAGTGGGAGACCTTAACTCTGTCTTCAGAAAACATTTGAACTTCAGGGCAAAGAATACGTAGAATTGCTCCAGCCTGCTACAGTTTCAGTTATTTTTATTCAGTTATTTATATTTAAAATCAAGGATTCAGACAAACTCCTCCATCACCACTATTTCTTATTCAGAAGCAGCATTTATAGAAGCTGTATGTAAGTAAGGCATGGGCTTATATTTTGCATGATATCAAGTTCTCCCGAAATGAGACCCAAAAGCTGTAGGGTAGTATTATCACTATGTTTTTATCCGTGCTTGTTAGTGTCCAGTGAGTACACTCACAAGGCTACTTCCCTTTTGAAAAATCAAACAAAATGGGGGAAAGCATCAGGGCATTAGAAAGGACTGGCAAACAGACACCTATTAATTGAACAAAAATTGCTACTAAAACATTCTGACAGTTTTTTTGCCTGTTCTGCTCTCCCCCTTCTCCTCTCACAATTCCCCCCACACGTGCACATACACTCAAAATTGAAGCTCACCTTACAAATACTTCATTAGTAAAATGGATTTAATTTCAGCATTAGGCAGCTGTTAAAACACTGAAATAAGTGAAATTTCTATTCTCCTCTCAGATTTTCACTTCAAACCTTAACCATACCTCTTTTCTTTCCAATTTACAGTAGTAAAAGCAAATAAAGGTTCACGTGACTCGTACTGTACCTCCTCTTTGGCGATACGCATGTTGTCAGTGACCTCTGAAAACACCGTGGGTTTTATAAACAGGCCTCTGTCTTCAATGGCAAGACCCCCACACTCCAGCTTAGCCCCTTCTTTCTTCCCACTTTCTATCAGCTCCAGGATTTTATCAAACTGTTTTTGGTCAATCTGTCCGACACAAAAGGAAAAGAAACAGACAGCAGTGCCTTTATTATCACTGTTCCAGAGACTAGAATCATGGTATTTCGCCCAGGGGCACACTTGCAGGGCACTGTCAAACCAAGTAAGTTTACATCTCATTCTATGATACAGCAGTCAGGCAATAAGCTTGCTGACAGACAGGACGTGGGCATAGCCTTAAGCCACAGAAAACAGAAGGTGAAGTTACATGTGATAGTTTAATCTGATCTAATAGTTTGCTGCCACATGGAAGGGGTCTCCCCATTTTTCCTTCCTTCGCATCCTGGACATGCACTCCCACGGCTTGCCTCACTCAAGGGACTTACTGACTTTCTCCACGCATTGATTTAGCTCAGGAACACCATGAGAACAGCCTGACATGGGTTTTGCTGGGCCAGCAATCTCAGTCAGCTCAGCAAGGGATCTGACCAGCAACAGAATCAGTGCAAGGCAGAGAGAATCAGGTTATATAAACTATTCAGTTGACTTTGCTGTAATGTGCAGCTTCACCCACAGCTTTGTCCCCAGCTGGAAGAACCCAGTGAGCTCTGCCTCCATCTCTTTCCACACACGCACCCTCTATGAACAGCCTCAAAGATAAGCCCTATTACTGGGGTGACTTCAGAACAACTACTGCACTGAAGCCATACTTTTAAAATCAGAATCACCTTTCACAGATATTGCAGACTAGTACCATCCCAGCATTTTCTAGTTCTCTGAACTAGGAGCGATATCTTCATTTTTAACTACCAACCTTGTCTACCTCCTCCCCACCCACACCTAAATATCCAATAACCTCAAACAGCAAGCACTGCTGTGCTACTAGCCTTTAAACTAAGGGTTTCCATAGAAGTGGGGAAAGGCCAGTCCAGTTACAGGACACTGAAGTCAGACAGTTGTACAGCCCTGCACCGGGACTCGGAGGAGACACCACGTACTCCATAAACACAGTGGGTCATGTGCTGGGAGGAGGCGCAAAAGCCCACAGCACTTCTGATCAGTATTGATCCTTCTTTTGTTCTCTGCATGCAGCTGTGTACTGCAGGTACTGTCAGGTTCCAAACAAATGGATGTGGCTATTTGCCTGATGCATAATTAAGTGATGAAACACCTCATCACAGCATGCTGCAGATGGTAAAAGACTTATGGAGATGTTTAAAAAAAGTAAAATCAACAAAAACCTCGACAAATTCATCAAGGTGATTAAATAAAAGAGCCCACCCACTGGTTCAAGGTGCCCTGGCAGCCTGGGAGGTTAGTCTGAACACCAGGTATCTCCAGATGCTTGCACTGGTTCAATACCCCTCCCTAGGCATCTGTTTTTATTTCAGTAGGGCCAGTTGCCAGTTGGGACTATTTACATGGAGTGTTCCACACCAACTCCTCCAGATTACAGACTATATCCTGTCCCTAGTTAATCCTGGCCACACGCAATCCAAGTTTTCATGCTTTTAGACAAGTATCAAAGCTTCAGGAGGGTGTCCTTGGGGTACTTCTGGTACACAGTGAAAACAGAGAACAGCACATCTCCTGCCACACAGATGTGCATATCACATGCACTGTGAACAGCTTGTACTAAGTGCTCATGTTCTCTCATGTGTTAAGATGCTACCCAAGAAAACACTTGATACATGCTACTGAACGAGGAAATGTATGCCCTCATGTAGGATACAGTGTCACATAGCAAGTTTGGCAGGTGTCATACATATTGTCCATTTGTCTGGTTGCTTAGTTGCCAAATGTAAATAATTTGGAAATATCTGCAAGTGCTTTCCATCCTAGCATGTCTGTGATCCAGACCAATCCAGTTCATCCACTTCACATCACAGAAAACAAAACAAGGATATTTATACAGCTGTAACTTGTTGCAAGGCAAACTATAGTTAGATGAAAAGACACTGGGGAAAGAAAACATTTGTAAAAATGACATGCAAGGGTGGAACTGTTTGTCGTTGTAACTGGAGCTTGCAAGGCTTGTTTAAATTCTGTCCCCTACTCCACTATTATTTATGGTTCAAGCATTGACTTCTATTAAAAACACATGATCTGGTAAAGCAAATTCTACTATTTGTTCATCTAAATCAAAAGAGAAGGCGGCTTCTAACGATCACTGCAATGCTGAAAATCTGAGACCCCCCAAATCTTCGTATCTTGCTTCATTTAAGTCAAGACTGCAAGGAGCAGTTTTTCCTTTTCCAAACCTAGCATTTGTAATCCTACAGAATAACTGCACAACTGTGTCCAACAGACTGTTGAACACAGACTCTTTCTACTTACATATTTTACTTTCACACTTTAATCCTAAAGTACACAAATGCCTACAGTCTAAGGAAAACATTCACCATCTTAAAAAATCAAACAATAGGTTTTGGGCTGAATAACTATTGGCTAGCAAATGCCATAAAGCAGCCTTAGTTGTTCTTCTATCCCTGTAAACCGGGTCTTATACTCCATAAATCCCAGTATTTTGTGTTCTACAATAACAAAACTACTCTAGTCTTGTTCTAATCTAATCCCTGTTCTAGTCCACCAGGACATAAGTCTCATCTAATGAAGTCTGCTGTTCACAATTGTATAATGCACTCGTTAACCAGTTTGCCATCTGTGCAGATTTACTTTATTACTTCCTGTGATACAGCTCACAGGAATCCAAAGTTAAAAAATGCCCTTGGTCTGCATTTGAGGTTGGCACCCTACTCATAGTCCTGATCACCCCTCAGGTTTCTTGTGGTGTCTTTTAAGTTCCAGCCAGCCAGCACAGTCAGACACATGTGAGTGTTGGAGAAGTCTCATCACAAGTATGCCTCATTTCTGTTTCAATTTCATACTGTTTAAATTTTACATAATTTTGATCAGAGCAGTGTAGTTTCTATCAGCATAACCCAATACTGCATCTGGTACGGTCTTTTTCCCACACTCACGCCACGAGCATCCATGCCAGTGCACAGTAATCCACACCAGGGAACTGACCTGTGTAAAACCTTTCTTTCTCGCTTCCAAAAAGGCTGGATTAGTCCTGAATCAGCTAGTTCCCCAATCTAGTCATAAGTGCAGTGCAATAGAGGAACAAACAGCTGCATACAGGACCACTTTACGTTAACTTTGTAAGTTTCTGTGGAACAGCATTCTCTGTCACCCCATGCTGTCCTGCACCAGGTTGTCTCAGCAGCTACTTAGAGCACTACACTCAGCCATGGTGCAGCTTGGTTTCATGGAGCACTACCTCAAAGTCTGGACTGCAGAGGCTCTCCTATTTTACACCTTCTGAACTCACTAGAAGTTGCATGACCTGTTGTCTGGCTACAAGCACTTGGAACTGATGTAGGACCAAAAAGATCATGGGCTACAACCACCGTCAGCCTAAAGGTTGGCTCCACAGCTCCTTCCCACTGTTGGCTTCTAAGCCAGTGATCATCCCAGAACAGGGTCTGCACAACAGCATGTGGCCATTTTTATAACGCTGTTGTGTATGTTCACACTGACCCACACAGAAGGAGAATGAAAGCAACAACCTGGATCTGAGGCAACTGAGGCTTGACAGGGAGAGATGAAAGAGAAGAGGAAGATAGATTGTTTTTCCTGGTGACTCTTCCATTATCCATCAGTTCAAAATAAAAAAAAAAAACCCTCATAACAGAGCAGGTTACTTCAGGAACAGAGGAAAAACTTGACCTGGAAGCTTCACATCTGAACAGTAACTTGTAGGCAGGTGTGAATCTTTGCTACTTTTGGAGGTATTTTAAATCCTTGTGACACCACATCATTTCTCTCTTCTGCTTGAATTTCTGTGTGTTGCATCTTATAGCATAGGCTTCAGAGAGCGAGTACCCATAACTGCAGAGGAAGCGGTTATTCCTTTGCACTGGCAGCCACATAAAAGCTTTGGGATTAACAGTTTCCTCCTACTCTCTCAACACCTTCCCATCTTGGGCTTGACAGTTGCATGCACAGAAGTTCAGGTGTGTGTGTGGGTGTGCTATCTCTCCTAGCTACAAGTATAACAGGTAAGCCAGAACAGGGAAAGAGGACAGATGGGCCACATTTTAAATCTGACCAGACACTGCTATGCTGACTTACTGTCACCCTTAATTATAGCTCTGTATGTTAAGAGTGTCCCTTAAGCCACAGCAGTGATACCAGAGGATGATGCTCTGCCATAGTGCTCACTGGAAAGCGTTCTGACAGCTTGGCAAGAGCTGGGAGCATGGATGAACTGAAATAAGCAGCCCAGTTCTACATGTTCTGCTCACTGCAGAGTGTCTCACCTTTTAAAACCTCACAAATACTCCCTATGATTTCAGAGGCTGTTCTCATTAAATCAATGGTCTCTGTTAGAGTAGCCAGGTGAACACAGTCCTGATGGGACAAACTATAAATGCAGCTCACTTTCCACTACTGCTAGATAAGCTGACAGCCCTTAACAGAAGGTAAGAGCAGACCTTGAAACAGCTTGAGAGTCATCTTCTCTCTTCTGAATCAAGTTCCAGCATGAGATTATTGTCATAAGACTGCTGAGCATTTTGAAATCTCTTTCTAGGCAAGTTACAGGGATAGATGTAGCCCAAGCATGAACAGAGGATGTACATCATCATATTCCCCATGCATGAGAACACGTAATGAGGTTTTGCCATGGATGAATCATGTAAATGGGCCTAGATCCAGATAAGGAGAGGCAGATGTCATCCCAGCCATCCCTTCTCTGAGGGGTCCTATCATCAAGAAAAACCTCACGGTGCAATACTGAGAACAGAAGGCCTAGGATATAGATTTCTGGGATTCCCCCTTTATTTCTGGTAGCAAACAGTGGCCCTGTTAGAAGACTTGACTCAAGGATCATCTTCCTCCAGAGCTCTCCACCACAGTTAAGATTGCTTCAGAAGGAAAAAATAAGAGGAAGACTCTGGAAGCATTGACGAGGCTGGTCATGACAGCAGCTTGGCATGGTTCTTCCTCATAATTCAGCTGAAACTTCTCCAAAGGATCAGAAAAGGAGCAGAGGAAGAGAGGGAAAGTAGGGACTTAGGAGTCCCTGGGCTCTAACTACTTGTCATCACTGACACAGCCAAGTAGCTGAATGGCCATTTCCGCAGCTGTACTCTTCTGGGCATTGCTATTGCTCACTGCAACATGCTTTGTATTACTGTACAAGGGAGACAGCCTTTTCCATAAAGCTGGATAAGAAGTGAATTAAATACATTTGTGTTTTAAAAAATTACAACGTAACATTTCAACAGTCGTGATTAATTGATATTTAAAATAGAGAGAAAAATAAAGCCGTGATACATTACTCACCCCTCGGCACTTCTGCTGGGACCACATTCGTAAGGAAAATATTTACACAAGGAAAATTAAATAAAAACACAACCAAAACCCAAACAACAACTCTTCTCAGGCACAGTTACCTGGGGCCCTTGTTCAGTTCTGGCATCAAAGGGGTCTCCAACGAGTCGCTTCTTGGCATACTCCACACTGCGCTTGACAAACTCTGGATATATCTGCTCCTCCACAAACACTCGCGAGGCAGCCGTGCAGCACTGCCCTTGGTTGAAGAACACGCCTTGATGGGCACATTCCACTGCCAAGTCCACTGCAACATGGCCCAGGAGGGAAAAGGGTTACCACATGCACAGTTTCAACCTTCCAGTGTTTCTAGACTTGTTTTTTCCTTTCTCTTTTGAAAGCCTCCTTAAAAAATGCTGACAATGGTCCACACCCATTGAAGGCACTCACAAGGCCTCATACTGCCCCCAAACCAACATCTCTTATTATTTCCACCCCCTCTTCTTGCCTTTCGCCTCAAGGTCTAGTTTGCCACAGCTCCTGATATTTTTTTCCACAAGGACTCAGTGAGGTCAGTAACCAGTTTTTCTTGCTGTGGAAACTCAGATGTGGATTCCTAGATACCGTGCATTGGTTCCTGAAGACTGGTTTCAGTAGGGATTGTTTAGACAGCAGTGTGCCCTTCTGTTGTACAGCCAGCTTGGACCAGGTCCTCGCAACACTCACTATTAGCAGGTGATACAAATACCTCTGGCTTTCAACCTCTGCTGTGCATGAGAGTGGAGAGTATTTTCCCCAAGCCAAATAGGATTTTCCAGCCACTTTGGTGGTCACAGGTTACACGTGCCTCCTAGCCCTACTCACTAATGCAATAAAGTCCCAACAGAACATGTGAAATGAGTCCTGCAGACCCCCAGGATAGAAGTGAAGGCTGGATTAGATCAGGTCCTACGAAACTCTCCAGTCATAGGAATGCCTGCAGAGGGGCTGCGTTTTAGAAAATTGCTTTCCCCACTGCTTGGGTCAGGCTCTGCAGTACTGCCAACCAAAAAGGAAGCACTGCAACTGCAGAAATAAACAAATGCAAGATTTATCTGCAACCGCAGCCATTCCCAGGGAAGGCAAAAGTATATTGCTCCACTCATTTGCCATGGGAATGGTCCCTGTGCTGGGCAAGAGCTCCAGTGAAGCAAAACTGCATTCTGTTTCTGGACAGAGGTTTCCTCTAGCCTTTGGGGTGGATGCAGTGGCAAACACCAGCTCTGCTAGCTGCCAAAGGACAGCAGAGACACACAAGAAGCACCACGCTCAGACTCTTAACAGCAAATAAACACAACAGCCAATACTTACAGTCTGCATCTGCACACACAATGCAGGGGTTTTTCCCTCCAAGCTCTAATGTCACCCTTTTGAGGTTGCTTTTAGAAGCAGCTTCCTTGATCAGTTTTCCAACCTGTAGCATAGAGACACAAAGAAGTCAGGAGCTGTTTTCCCTGAAAATCTTAACTCAGTGTGTCAAGTGTGATGTTAGCAAAGGTAGAATAATCTGGTGGGTGGCTGAAGCAGGTAGAAGTCAGGGATAGCGCTCTCAAACGGTTTGAGCTTCCTGCTGTTGGGATGAGTTGGGTCAAAACCAGCCCCAAAATTAACGTTTGGTTTAGGCAGACCTGAAAGGGCAGACTATGTGGGAGAGCTACAGGAACTGTATCCTGAAGTTATCTGCTACCAGAGCTGCAGAACAAGGCATTTTCCACCCAGTGTAAACTAGTGAGCAACACTGGCAATCAAGATTTACAAATTTCACTTTTTAAAGTTGGGAATTCAACTTCTTAAAGTAGATCTTGCCAAGGCAATGGCAAGAACTCACTGTTCTGTTACCACTCCCATAACAGAAAGCCATGTAGATACTTTGACATTTAGGTGAAAGCTATTTCTTTCTGACAGTTTAGGCTGAGCTTCTCTACACACAAGAGTAGCTGAGACATGTTCCTTCCAAGGCCATACCTGAGGATGTCAACAGACAAACTCTGGCTAGCTCTGCTGTGACACCTTCTGCCCAAGAACATGCTCTGATCATCTGGTAGAATTTATCTGGCCACCCTTTCCTGAAGGGAAGGATTTACTCTGCTTCCAGAGTTTAATCAAAGTAATGTTAAACTAAGGGTTTTTTTTTTTTTTCCCCCACAGAAAAATTGTTTCATAATAAATGTTTTCCCCAAATTCTGACTGATTGTGTTAATTCTTTTCTATACTGGTAACATCAAAACAGCAATTTCTTTCAGTTTTAAAAATGGCATGCCTCGGAAGAACATAAATCAAGCATCAGAATCATTTGGTAATCTGATTTTGTTAGAAACAGTATGAGCTAAAACTATTTGGAAACTTCCATTGTTAGGCAGGTTATTTTTTAAGCGTGACCTTAGATTTTAAATTCCTCAGTTTACACCTGGTTTTCTTGTATTTTACCTTTGCATGTGGCAATTTTAACTTAATTTCTGCCTAAAAATACTGTTGCCCTGGAGTGGAGCTATGAGCAAGTAAAGCATGGGGCAGCTGGCTGGCAGTTATGGGTCTGTTCTTCTCCTAGGTTTGCCTTTGTAACTTGAGCAAGACTGAACCTAGCAGTACAGATCATCTCTAGCCACCCGGCAGCCTAGTGCTAGAAACAGCAGAAACAAGTGATGCATGCTGCTGCAGATACACATAGCTTCACAACAGGTATTACTACAAGCTAGCCAGCCAAAGAAGAGTAAGTTAATAAACTAAGGGAAAGGAAGAAATTTAGATGGGAAAATTCTTGTGAAGTTTAAGATCAGTATTTCCAAGCTGGCACTGAGCCCAAGCTGGGGCTTAAAAACTAAGTCAAAATGTATTTTGAATTAGCTTGACTTCCTGGCTCAGAAACAGTAGCATTATGCTGCAAATACTGCAGAGATGCAGCTGAACTCACAGATGGGTGGAGGGGGAAGAAAGCCCTTCTAAATTACACATGCATTAGCAAAGAATCTGTCTCCCTCGGTGTTTCCTGCACACCCATGGATTAGGAAGACAAGCACAATATCTATAGGAGTTTTGCCTACAGGCTCCAGCAGCTGAGATTTTCCTTCTGCCCCTAATCCACTGGATACTTCTTTTTCATTAAAAACCCAAACAGATCCATGTGGGCTGGATGAGTCTATAAGCTCTATTGTTTCCACACAGCCAGTGTCTCATCTGGGCTAAAGGTTTCTGATCTAGGATTTAGTGAGAAGCGTGTAACTGGGTAAACTCCTAGATTAGACCAACTATCAAGAGAGTAAAAGCTCATTGTGAACTTTTACTTTATTACGTTTGTGTTTGTTCCTATGATCCCTGAACAGAAACCAAGGCTTAACACACGTTCTCCTATGGGATAAGTGAAGCAGTTAGCAGAGACACAAAGCCACTAGATGGTACTGTTGCTAAATGCAGCAACTTTTGAGTGTTGAGTGAGTTACCTTTACCAAACAAGAATACTATTCAAGGTAATTTGTCATCACTATACATTTAGATTACACTCTGAAATTACGAGGATAAACATTAGAATGGATGAATTTGGCAAATGCTCAGCAAGAATAATGTTACTCAAAGAAATAAAAGAGACTATATTTGCCTCAACTGCACCCATTGGCGTCAGCATTTCCATTCTTAGGACACTACCTCTCTTCAGGGGGTGCATGTATATTGCAAGAAAAATCTAGAGCAGTGAGTGGAAAAACATTCACATTTCTAAGCAACGTTTAGTTTGAGAAATTTCAGCAGTGATTACTGGAGACAGGTATGTTTGCATGTCATAGCTGTGCTCAGTTCCACAGACTGGGCCAAGCCATGCGCTCCTTTCTCGCGTGCAGGTACAGAAGAGGATGGCTGTAGGTGTCTCAATAGTGCAGGGGTCTTGCTTCCACCCCTCCTGTAAGCAAGGCATCCATAGCTATTAACAGGAAAACACTGAATAGAAGGTGCTTTACTGTGCACATCTCAAAAGAAGTTCAACTGTTAATCCCATTCACGTCAGCAGAGGAAGCCTCGGGCACAGGGCCATGTTTTTATTGAAGTCCTAGTTCCTCAGAGGTAACTGAAGCTGAGGAAGAATTGTTCAAGGCTCTGAGTGACATGTTTTCCAGTTGCACACGGTCGCAGGGCAGGACTGGCAGGCAAACTTGCCCAGAAGCTCCATCAGGTCAGTGATGCGACATTAAGTCACTGCCAGCCTCTCCTGTAGACTGTCTTACCTTCTGTCAGAGCATCTATTACTTACAGTTCTTACAGAAACGTGGCAGTTTGGCAAAACCTAGCTTGCAGAGATGTGACATTATCACAAGCATGAGGAGCTGAATTAGACAAATCCCAATCACTTCTGAGAAATCCTGTCACATGGAATGTGATGGACTGTGGTGTTGGCAACACAGAAATCATCAACATTTCATTGGTCCGGTCTTAACGCAGATGACAGTCTTAGAAGATAATGCAAAGAGGAACAGGAGGTGTTTTATGAGAAATCTATTACCCACCTTTGTTGATCCAGTAAAAGCAATTTTATCAATGCTGTGATGGGTAGAAATAGCAGCTCCAGCTGTGGGGCCGTAGCCTGGCACAATGTTCACCACACCTGGAGGGAAACCCACCTAAAACAGAGGTTAAATACAGCTCTGTAGAGAGATTTTGAGCACTCTGGGGCTGATCTGCACTCATGAGAATGCAGTTCAGCTCTCAGCTTCAGTTAGTTGCACTATATTCCTTGCAATTGAGAACTGCAAGTTGCAGACGAGCAGCCCGTACCAGATACACCACTGTTTTCCAGACTTTCCAGTAACATGGCTGTGTGCTACCAGCTGGAGTAGACATGGGTGAAAGTAACAGCCATGCTTAGGAAGTGCCAAGTTTCAGTAAGAATTCTTGGAGGAGTCCCAGTTTCAAGTCAAAAGAGAGTGAGTCTTCTGGCCAAACTAGAGTCTACTGCTGTGCAGCTGGAGCCAAGGGGTAAATGAATGAAAGTTTGTTTTGAACAAAGGTTGACATTTGTGGTTCTTCATGGGCCAGAGGGATTAAGAAGTCAGTGAAACCTCACTAGATGATGGGGCTAGTAAAACAGGAATACAAGAGCAGATGGTAACAGACTTATGCCAGTTTCCACCACATTTACAACCTAGATTAGCCAACTAGTAATTTTGCCAAAAGAGACAAATGGCAAAACTTTAGGTGAAATTCTACTGCAAGGAGAAGTGTGGGACTTACTGGTCTGTTTTTATTTCCTGAAACAAGAGTTTCAAGGATTATGGTCTTCTAGGCTAGCCCTCCCCTACTACTGATTGCACAGGGTTATTTTCCTTGCATTTTCTAACAATGGAATTGCAGGATATTAAACATTCACATCATTTCTTGTCTCTTTTTAATATAAAATCTCAATAAATGCAGTTGCTCCTTCCTAATACAGAAAAAAATGGAAGTAATTGCTTATGTACAATCTTGCAAAAAAATTATCTTCATAAATTTTTTTTTTCTTCTACTTTTTGTAAATTGGAAGGGCAATCTGATTTCTCCTATGGGTGTGACAATGATAAAAGTGAGTTTAATAGAGTCTGCATCTTGGCTAATGAGTTTTCCAGAAAATACTGCATGTCAAACTGTGCAAGTAATGGTGTTTGGAGTCAGCAGCAAAGCCACAAGGAAGCAAAAAATTGGTTCAGGTCACCCTGAGCCAAAAAGCTTTTTTTTTTGTTTTTCAGCAAAAATGAAAGCCAAAATATTTTGGTTGACTCAAAATTATTTCATTGAACCTAACAACACATAGCTTTGCTTGTGTGTTAATATCTTCTACATAATTTTAAAGATTAAAGAAACAACAACAACAACAACAAAAAACCAAACAAAAGTTTAACTTACTCTTCTGAAAAACTGCAATGAATTTAGCTAATTTTGGGTGGAGAAAGGAACATCTTCAAATAAAATTATTCTGCTCTATTTACACTTCTGCCTTGGAGGACAACTGTGAGGAGCAGGCAACTTAGAATTTCAGCTCAAAAAATGACTTTCACTAGAACTGAATGTTTTAGAGGGGAATGCTATGCCTGTGTTTGGGGAGCTGTATGTCAGAGTGAAAAAACCAGTGGTGCGGCAGGGCTAACTAGAAGTCATGACAACTGCACCCTATGTTCATTCATCTTGGGTAATTTTATTAAGTCAATTAATTGCAGGAGATACATAACTGGTAGTATTTTTGCACTGCCTTTCCTGATGGAGGAGCCCTAAGTGTCAATTGTTAGCATATCCTATTTTCTCCCACACTATGCCAAGAACATACAAAATTATCATTAGACCGAGCCTAACATACACATTGTTCCAGCTGAGAGGCAAAAATCTGTCTGCAACCCTTTTAGTTTTCCTCACGATTAGTCACATACATAGGTTTTGGAAGCTGATGTACTGACTAGTCCTGGAAGGTACTGTGAACCTCCCACCACCTCTGTATAATTAATAGATCTGAGGGCACCTGAAATCCTACCTGACAAGCCCTAAACCAACATTCTGAAATCCCAGCCTATGATCTTCCTTTTACGTCAGTATCAAGTTGGCTTTAAAGGCCAGGCACAGCTGAATTGTTCTATAAACTGCAGAAATGATAAAGAATTGTTTCCCATGACACTGTCTTGGTTGAATTATCCCACTTAAAAATGGTAGACAGCAGTGTTGTGTTTATAATCACACTCTTTGTCCCATTGTCTAATAAAACTGAGCTGTAGTCTTTCCCTCATTTGGGAGAGGGGAAGACAAGACAGAGGAATAAAAGCACCATTTTTTCCTCTCTGCAGCTTCCTGGGAAAGAAGAACCTACACATTTTGTGAATTTTGCTACCTCCCAGTCAGCCACTGACAGTCCTAAAGGCCTTTGTAAGAAAAGACTGAAGACAGAGGTTGTTCTCACTTTCCTCTGTGAGGCTTTAACATCTTTAAAACCTAAAAACCTACACAGCCAATTCAAAATAGTCTTGCTTACAACCTTAAAAGAACAGTACCTAGATGAGATGTTCAGATGTCCTTACCTCCTTGATCAGCGAGCCAATGTACAGCGACGTGAGAGGAGTTTGTTCCGCTGGCTTAATAACCAAAGTGTTTCCACAGCACAGTGCTGGTGCCATCTTCCAAACCAGCATTAGCAATGGGAAGTTCCACTGCAAGAATACAAGGCTGGTCAGATCAGCCCAGCAGTGTCACCTACTCACTTCCAAACAGCATTTTCCCCACCTTCTCAGAGCTCAGGGAGAAAGAAGCAACTGGGAGGACAGCCATAAAAAGAAGCGTCTGCTTACAATATTGTGTTTGCTTGGACTACAGAGTACAACTTCCTTTATTCCCCCCTGAGATCCCAAATATTGCTGGCAGTCCTCAAGCTAATCCTGTAAATTGGACAAACCTCTGCATGATGTGACCTCATTCTTTGCAGGAGTCTGATCACACTTTGTATAGGATTTTGACTGTTCACAGAAACTATGTTGGAGGCAGTGTCCCAATGCATCAGTTTTGTACAGCGTCCTTGTGTGGGAGAATTACAGGGTGCAACTGCTTATTGAAAAAAGCTCATTTTTCTGTGTTAGGTATTGGCTGAGTAGTTAGATGTTATACAATATCATTCAATTCCAGGTTTATAACTATGAAACTGCACTGGGTTGTTCAGTCATTGAAATCCAGGGGAGCTCTTATACTCCCTTCAAGTTGTAAATTGTGCCTTTCCAATTAGTTTTCTTATTTGGAATTAGGAATCAGTCCACATCAGTTTCCTCTGTGCTAATCTCTTTCATGGTCATGTGTATTTGTAGATCTTGGAGCCTAAGCAAGAAGTGGAAAAATCTAGCTCTCACTGAATTTCAGAAAGGTCATTTGGCAGTAGAAAGGATTTCTTCATTAAAAATAATTAATGCTGTTTTAAGGATGATGGAAGCAAGCCAACAGTAAGGAGACTTCTTGTCAAGGCTTAAGCCAAGGGCCTTCAGCTATCAACAAAGAAGCCAAATATGTTCGGAATCCACAAATTCACACTTACAAATATATTAGCAGTGTAGCTTTTAAGAGATGAGTTCTGTTCTAACCCAGCAGCCCAGAGACAAAGCAGAATTTAGTCTAATGTGCTATTCTTCAACTTGCCTCTCTCTTTTTCCCAGACCTGTTTCATTTCAGTGATCTTCTCCAATGGCCACATCCTACGATTTGCCCATTGGTCTTTTTCTCCTAAGCCTTCTTGAAGGCCTGACTTTGCAGCTTGAGCCATCCACACCTACATTACTTTTCTACAATTTCAGAGCATGACATAACTCCATTAGGAACTTTCACCAGCCATTCCGCAACAGAAAGCAACAGTAAAGGACTCCAGGGCTGCCTCATGACATCACCTTGGGATAAAGTTCAGTCATGCTGCACTTTCTAAGAACCTCCCTTGCTAAGAAAGTTGGTTTAAATATAGTCAAGCCACAGGAAAAAGGAAAGATTGTTAATTGATTTAGGAAGACATACGTAGAATAGTGACAGAATCTCTTTAAAGCAAATAGGAATATACAAGCCCACAGACTGCTGGAGTTCAAACTGAAAAATAAATTGAAGGGGATTTGTTCTAGGTAAACTGAAGACAGATACTGTTTTGTTGATCCCAGTCATCCTTTTTACAAACACAGTGTTGAACCCGAGTCAAATTTAGTTCTGTACTTTGTACTGTATTTACTGTTGATGTAGAGTCAACCTGAAATATTAGAAGTGACACTACGTCCCCTTATAGTGACCCTCCAAAGCATCCTACATGTAGGCTTTTAAAGGGATAGTTTCCAAAAGCATTGCTGAGTGCCAAAGGTGGCTGACGTGTGACCAGGAGACACCTTTTAATTGGTGATCAACATGAGGATCTGATGTTTTGATCTTAAGTCACAAATTCTCATTTCTCACAAGCAGTCACATTGCTTATTCAGCCAGAAAAGCTGTGCAGACATCAAGCCAAACGTCTGATAACTAGTACTAACCACCTCCACTTTGCATCACCCTGACATTGCTATAGACTATACCATCTTATTGCCAGGGATAGAAGATCAGTCCTGCTGAAGGAAAGAGCAACATTTCCCCAGATAACTTTGGGAACTGGTCCAGACCTGGTATTCCCACAGTCCAGCAAATCCAGTACCCCACATGCACTTCTTTCAGTCTCTCCTATAACCTTATCCCAAAGGTCAAAATCTTCCATGGACTCTTATTAATCTGAGTATCCAAACAGAGAATTTTGGCATACCACCATTTGCCTTATGGCCTGTAGGATACCACGTTCAAAGCACTTTACAACCAGACAGGATCAAACTATGCCTTCCATGTAGCTGTAAAGTCTTCCTGGCTGTCTGTTTAAACAGAGCAAGCAACACACACTAAAACTAGAATTCCAAGAACCAGACACACTGTCCCCTCAGCAGTGAATGAGACCTCAAGGGAAAGAAAATTCGATTCAGTGCGATTTAATCACAGAAAGCTCAGAGAACCACCAGGGGTTATTAATAATGGATAAAATTTAAAACTCAAAACTATGCATCAACACTATGCAGCAAAAAGCTAGCACATGTAATGACAAGATGGTTGTCCCGGCAGTGCAAGAGTCAGAGAGCTCTGACTGGTCTCTGGTGACTGGTGTCAGCCTTACAGAGGAACAGAGCATCTGATTAGGAGACCCACCCTTCCATTGCAGAGGACTTTGTGTTGCCAAGAGCAATTGGCATGGGGGTAAAACAAGAAACTACATCAGGCAACTGTGATGGGAGTTCCCTGCAGAACAGCTGCACTTAACTAGGAAGCAAATGGCTGCAGCATAAGATGGGGGGTGCACATGTACTTCTTCCAGTTCTAAAGGAGATATAGGGCACCATCACTGCTACTTACTGGAGTTATAGCTCCACAGACACCCATCGGTTCATGCCTGGTGAAACAGACAAAATTTTCATCTACAAGACAAAAGAATAAAGGAAGACAAAACAGTGAAAATCCTTGCTTCTACAGAAAGAGTGTAAGACAACTGCACACTAACAGGTTGGGGACAGAACTAGAACCATATTATATAAACAACCCTCTATCTGTTCATCTTAACTCATGCCTCTCTGACACCCCAGGCAGATAAAGATCTATTTGAGAATAGGTCTTTTAGAGCAAAAGCTCACTGCTCATAGTCACGGTCACAGAGGAGCCTTTTCAAAGCAAGGGTTCAAGCCCTTCTGCAAACTCCCTGTGTTGAGGTTAAAGGGAAGATAACTCCCTACCACACTGAAGAGCGAGCACAAATTTCATTCAGGTTGTGTCCCACTGAAAGAAGCAAAGTACTTGTCTCCCAGAAGGGTAGAGTTTTTAAACCTATTTTGTACAGGAATCATATTCAGTGTAACAGAAATTGCATTTCTGGTAAGAAATCACAAGGAGATGAAACACTGGGACTAAAATAATGCCATTCATCTTAAAATACTGCTATTACTCTTTCAAAGAGAAAGCAGGAAAGGCATTTTCCTTACAAATTCATTCTTGCTGAAAACCTAGTTTAATTGAGAAGATCTGACAAAACACAAACATTTCTCATTACAGTTTTTCGAAATGATCTCAAATCAGGACAAACAAGCAGTGTCCAGGCAAGCAAAGCTGCATGTTTGAATGAAGGTGACAGATCTCAGTTTATATGACTGACACTGCTCCCTTTGCTGCCTGCACAGGCTGAACTAGTTCAGCCCTTCAGAGCCCTTCCTCTGGTGACTAATTTTTGTCTGCGGTGCCTGTCCTTCATACAGCCTCAGTGATTACCCACATGCAGGGACAAAACAGGCTGATTTTGAAAATATATCATATTGTTCATTGTGCCACGTGGACATCCACTGTCTGAAGTTGTTCTCTCTGAGACTATATTTAAGCTTCTATAGCTGAGCCAAAATGTCCTCTCTGTCCCTGACACAACAGGGCAGTGTCACTGGGAAACATTTTGAAAAACCTCTCTCAAGTGTCAGACAACTTGACAAGGTCCCTCCCAAGAGGTCAGTGCTTTGGCTCCTGAGATGAGTCAGCATCTTGGACCTTCTTTTTAATAAATGTTAAGAAAAAGCACTACACAATCTCTCTAAACATCTGTGAGCCAGCACTGTGAGGGATGCAGGAACACCAGTGAGGGGGGAGATAGTGGCAGATTCTACATCAACCATCTGTCACATTCCTGTGGCATCTAGGACAGCACAAGCTCTGCTGCCTTCATACAGTTCTCCCTAGAAACTTCTGTCCTTACGCTGTCTTGCACCTTAATTCATTACAATGTTACCAGATAAACTCCCCAATAATGTGTAGGGCTTTTTCTTTAAGAATTAGTCTGAATTTAAAATCAAAAATCTTTCTCTTTTGTTGCTATTTTAAGAGAACCCATCCATTATTTTCCAGAGATTTATCCATCCATTCACATTTTTCTCCCATTAGTTTAAATCTTGAAACACATCTACTTAAAATGCATCCTGAGATAGAAAGGAAAAGCAGGTTATTTTTGCAGATTTTCAGGAGCCAGCCTTTCCATGCATCTCCCTCTCACCCCCTCAAGCCTGATCCCATTCCAGCAATGAAACTGGGTCTGAAGGAACTCACCCACTGGGATAGTTCTGCCCTGAATTTTATCAGCCCATCCAGCATAGTATCGGAGTGTTTTAATACAACCTTCCAGGTCAATGAAATAAGCCTGCAGAAAAGGCTTTCCTGTGTCCATCGTTTCTAGAGTCTGAAAAAAAAAAAAAAAAAAAAAAAAGTATGCACTGTCAGACAAGTCAGTGTGTTTTTCTTTTTTAAAGCTTTTAGAGAAATTCCTCAATTTTATTTTGCCTTGTGCCACAGACATGGGCTTTCCTTCCCTCCCCTTATATTTAAGGAACAAGCTTGTTAATACAAATAAGGTAGAAGGGAGACTAGACCAAATAACCGTGACCCGTACAGAAGTTGCTTTGTTCAGTGATTGCAATGAAAGCACATCTTCCCAAAGCCCCCAGAAGGTGGCTGTGGGTGGGATACTGGGCTGTGGTCTGGGGCACTGGTCGGAAACCATGTGAGAGTCATGACTTCACCATATCTGACCCCCCGATGCAGATGTTCTGGATTCCAGATGGTGTCAGTGAAATCAGTCAGACTCACTTTCCTTTTACTTGGAAATCTATTTTTTTTTCTAATTCACTGCCCTAAGACCAACCTCTGAGAAGCCTCTTTTGTCCACAGGATGATAGAAAACACATTTTTTACAGGGTTCTGATAAAGTAACCTTTGGGCTCAGATCTGTGCTGACACTAAAGCAAGTGAAAAGTTGCTTCACTAAAGCTCCACTGATGCTGCGCAGCTCTAAATGAAGTCCAGTCTCAGCCTGTGTCCTTCTCACTGTTCTGGACATTAGCTCAGTGAATGCTTTGTTCTGTACTCAGGTCATTAAATGGGATATTGGTGCAAATAGCCAGCACATCCATAAAGGAAGTACTATCCCTTGGTAGAATGAAACATCTTTGTTTACATATGAAGTCATACCCCGTCATCTTCCACAGACATTAGGGTCCAAACAGCACTCGAACAGACATTCCCCTTGGAATGACCAGGATTGTTATCCACTCTGAATGTCTGTTAAAACAACTGATTTTTTATAAGTCATTACTTAGCACGCAGCCAAGACAGCTACGGCTGGTTTTCTGCAGTGAAAATAACAATGCCAAACAAGCCCTCCCAGATCAGAAGGACAGAAGAAAGCTTGAAATGTGTCCTGGTTTATGGAAAAAGAGGGCCCTCTGAAGTCACATAAAGTGAGCAGAAAATGAACAGATGCACACATACACATATATATGTGTGTGTATATATATATATATGTATGTATATATATATATTCCCCTTCCTACCCCCTTTTATTTGCTGGCCAGAATTCCCTTCAGACCTGGATTTTTTGGTTTTGTCTTGCTGAAACTGGAGGCTGTCATGTGGTTGAGACACTGTGTTGGAGAAAGAGACCTGGCTCAAAATAGTCATGCAAGCAGGGGCTCCTAAGCACATCCCACGTATGTTAAGTCCTACTGAACTCTGTGGGACATCAGCTCAGGAACTTAAACACATCTAAAAGCACTGAATGTCATAAATGCCACTCTCCTGAAGACAAGCAGAGCCAAAGTGCAGCACTGAACTTGTGAGTGCTTAGGTGCAAGATCTTAGCTATGGACTGACAGCAGCTCTAAGCTGAGAGATGCTAGGGTCTGTGGGCACAATTGGGAAAGATGTCCAAGGCCCATAGAGTCTAAAGACTTCTTACCAGCTGCAGCACATTTTAGCTTAGGTCCTACTCCCCTTGTTCTGCACCAGAAGGACTCCTTCAGGATAGGATGGGGAATCATTAGCAATAGTTCTCCAGTGCAGAAGTCCAAGTTAACACAGCTTCATGACTATAAAGAGATTTTCCTGAGCCAGTACACTCAGTAAGGAAAGAAACAGTTCTCACTTACACATATTTTAAACTTTGGATGACATCCAGCAAGAGAAAGATTCTCTTTCCAGCCCCCCATTTTAGGGAAAGCAATTTGCAAAGAAATCAAACTGGCCTTGCATTTTTGCAAGGACCAAGTCAGTTGTGGTGGTTTGTGGTGGTTTTGGCGTTTTTTGTTTGGCTTTTTTTTTGTTGTTTGTTTTGGTGTTGGTTTTGTTTTTTAAGATAAAAACCAGAAGACAGCTATGGACATTGATGTCTGCTAAACTAAAAGAATATGCTTATATCTTTGAAAATTTAAGTATTGATATATGTAATCACTTCAATAACTAGCTAAAGTTTTGAAGTAGTCAACTATATAGAAGAATTAGCAGCCTTCTTCCAAGACACTTAAAAATCATTCTGCAGAATGAAGAAGATAAGCTACGATTCCTGCATGGTCTCTTCTCCTTCATAACAGGAGAGAAAAGAAATACAGTAAGTAGATATGGATGCAACAAAATCAGAGGGTTGAATCTGAGTTGAGCCAACTGTTGCTGGTTTATCACTGCTCATGGTACTTACTGCCAGGATGACTCTGTCTCGCTCCAGAAGATCAGCCAGTTTGTGCAGGAGTCGTCCTCTGCTTAGGGCATCCATCTGTCTCCACGGAGACCCCCTCTGGAATGCTGCCTTTGCTGCTTCTACGGCATTATCCACATCAGGCTAGAGTAGCCACATACACAAGAAAACCTTCGGTTACAAGGAAGGAGCTGGACAATGGCACAGAAACCCCCATCAGGCTACTTCCTAAATGATGCTGTGGTAACTAAAACCAAGTTGTCTGACAAAACCATTCCCATTTTACTCCTGGATTTGGACCCAAGCCTGCAATAAGTTCTGGGTTTGGCCTGGTCTCATAAACAACCTTGGGGTCAGAGTACCAACAGTGTCTTTCAAGGGTAATTTTATGCAACTGTCTTGTTTATACAATAATCTAGAATCATGTTCCTGCTGATACAGGATGTAAGTGTAAGGGGGAGGATGGAGAAACAAGATCCCAATTCTGTTCCCATTACAGCTTTCCTAAGCTTAACAGTCCATTGGCCTGAATGAATCATCCTCCTCTGAACAAGTGTGGGAAGGAAAGTCCCCCACAAGAGAGATCATGGTTTTATCCAGGGGAGTAATCACAGCTCAGATACCACCATTCAGTCCCACTGGAACCTATGCCGGTAACAGTTAACACACTGAAAAAGCTCCCTTAGGTCCTAGATCACACTTCCAGAACACTTCTACCAACTGGGAAGGGCTTTGTTGTTCAGTGCTATGACAAAGGTATTTCACTTACACAGACTTAGTGCCACTCTCCCTTCATCTCCCAACTGCATTACCATACTCTGGACCAAATTTAACCCTGTTACTACTCAGGCTAGCAGAAAATTCCCTCTCTCCCCACCTCACCAGCCCCAGAGAAGCTTCATGCATTTGCTCTCGCCACAATATGCCCTGGACTCCTCCCTTCTTCCCAAATACATTGATTGAAAAAAGTAAAGCTAAGGGCAACCTGCCGACCCAATGAAGTCAATGGGAACACTGCCATCAGCATCCACGAGGCCAAGACTGTGCCCCAAGCATACATAAAGCATACTTCACCCTGGCTTTGGACAGAATCCTGCTCTATGTAACGTCTGGCACAGCCCGTGCCTCACTTCAGCTGATGGAGAGCTTGCACCTCGCTGCAATATGTGGCTCAAGGGGGTAGGAAAGGAGGGAGGGATTCAGACCTTGATCATTCCTCATAGCACTTCACCAGTTGCTCTCATTTAGGTCTTATCTCAAGTCTTGTCTGAATACAGTTACAAAGTAAGCCTCTGTGCTGATCCAACAAGGTCTGGCCATTCTCCCATGGGGAAATGTGTGGTGCTCAACCAAGAAAAATGTTATGGGGAGACTTACGTTGCCTTCTTACAGCAAAAGTTCATGGAGAAAACAGCAAGTCATCACCCACTGAAATGGCACCTTACACTAAATTTGGCTCCTTTTCTTTACAAGAAGATTACACAGCTTTAAAACACTCTGACCTATACTGCCAAGAAAAGAACCCCACCCTTTTGGAAGGGTAGTGATGGGGAAACCATTGGAGGAAACTTGTGCTGTTACAAGGGGTTAAGAACGGCTCTGGTCAAACAAGGGTGCTGGTGAGGCAGAGGTAGCAAGCAGCTGCTGTGCACAGGCAAGCACCTCCTGCCTGGTCGTCACCACCCACAGGCAGAACAGGCCTTTGGAATAGTTGCTTCACTTGAACTGATCTGGATTCAAACTGGCACATCACAATATCCAGAAAGCACCACCAGGCACTGTACACTTATGTACTCCCCATCCCTCCTGCTGGAATGAAGACTCAAGCTGAAAGAAGGCAATATTTTATGTGACAAAGCAGACAAAGAAACATGAGAAGTATCCTGTTTAAACAAGTCTTCTCTTAGCAGCAATTAATTAGCTTCTGTGACCAGGCTGGGAACACTGATTTGCAGAGCATTGGTTCTGCAGTGGCACAAGCCACAGCTCAGCATGCCCTCGGTACTGAGGGACTTCCCACCACCCTGGCACTCACAGAACTGGGATGAGATGGCTGTGGGGACAGAGGACTTCAGTGTATGCCCAGACCTTCTCCATCCTCTAAACATGGGAGCACCTGAGCCCCGCTGCAGCTCCTGCAAAAACTGGTCGTCTCCATTCTTGTCTCTTTTCTCAGGACATGCTGGGTACACATAGCGCCTTTGAGACTGCAGTCACTACCACACAAGCAAAAAAGGCTTTCTCAAAACACCCTCGGGGGTAGCACCACCAAGTGAGATCTTGGGAGCCTGCACAGCCTCAATAGGCCTGAGAGACCAGCAAAACCAACGAAATTCTTCAGGAAGGATGAAATGCCATTCTTAATCCATCCTGTTATGACTAGGCATTAGGGGAGTCTGAATGGCATGTTCATTGCAGGCATGTTGCAATAGGTAGGCACAATGCGTGACAAAGAGACTCGTAACTGTCAAGGTGCCAGGGACACACTGTGGTGTACAAAACCACAAAGAGGAGGAGGTCTGTGCATCCTGTTGCTCAGTTCTAATCTATACAGATTTACTGAGTATTACATAAAAAGCTCCACTAAGAGAATATTAAGATTGCAAAGTCAAGCATTGCAGCATTGGGAAATGCCTGCAAACCTTCATACCCACCTTGGATGTTTGCCTTATGATACAAGCCCCAGTTACACAACCACATACCATTTTCCCCTGAACAAACTCACACTATTCTTTGTTCTAAGCTACCTCCTCTACCTTCCTCAAGTCCTGCTCATCGCTGCTCCATTTCTATACTAACCCTTTTCCTCTCTCCTGCCTCAGCAGCAGGCTGCAGTGCACAGTGGAGACCATCGACCCACTGGCTCCGTGAGCAGGGAAAATACCTGCAAAAAGCCCTGCTCTGCTTCAGGCTCCGTATACACAACACTGCTTCAGTTTGGCCAGTATGGAGACATGCCAGGGATGGAGCACACCCATGGAGACTGCCTTTCTCAATCCAATTACTAACTTCTTGAAAAAGTGTCCACTATGAACATCTTTGGAAAGGCACTTTTCTGACATAAGGCATGAACATGTCACAGTCTCTCAATTAGAAGAGGTTTTTCTGACCTGTTTCCCTACAAACAGTCTACACACTGCATTGCTTTAACTTTTGAACTCAAGTTTAAACCAGCTACAAACAACATCTTAACAGCCCAAAGTGCCCAAAACCATTGAGGGCATTGCAAGTCGGTTGTAGGGAACAATATTCCTGCAGCCTCTTACCACTGCAATCTGAGATGGGCAGGGTGACTGTGAACAAAACCCTCTTACAACCCTTCAGAGATTGACATGGGATAGTGAACTGCTTAGAAATGATCATGACAGACACTCCACAGCATCAAGTCTGCTCGACAGTCACAGCTGTGGACCTGCTGCCCACTCTGCAGCAGCCAGCTGAGCTGGGCACTCCTGTGGGGAAGAAGCACCTTTCCTCCTGTCCTCACTGCATGTTAGCAAGCTGCTAGAAGAAAAAAAAAGCCTGTCTTCAAGTGTTATCACCGACACCAGAGAAATGACAATGACAAGTATTTTTGCCTTCCCATGGTAACACTGAGACAGGTTGGAAGTTCTGAGGCTGCACGATTCACTGAGGGCAGAAGTTTAATGAAGAAAGTTATTCCTTCTTTGTTATCAACGTGGCAAACAATTGGACACTAAACTGTTATTTAGGAGACAGAAAGTCTCCAAGTAGCCAGTGGGAAGTATTTGCCATTTTATTTTCAGTGCTTCTTTTTCCACACAAGACTCCCTTTATCCCCCCAACTATCCCATCAAGGGCAATTCTGTGTTAAAGTCTGCAACTAAAGAACAAACAACAAAACCTTTGCTCCTAGCCTCATAAAGCATTGGCCAAGTTTCAGCACCAGACCAAACTGTCATCGCTGAGATATCAGCTGCCAAATTCCCACCCCTCACGTGCAGGCTAAGCAAAACACGCTCTGCACAGCCAGGGAGGGGCAGGTTTCTGTTCAGGGCTAGGGAAGTAGAGTCCTGCTCCCAGCCTGCTGTGAAGGCAGAGCCAGTACCAGGAAGTGCCACAGACAAGTACAGTGGCACGAGGGGACAAGACACTGGAAAGCACCAAACACAACTCACCTCTTTCTGTGGTAACTCCAAAACTGGATGGGATGTTCAACCAAGGCAAAGGAAGTCTCAGGGGACTCAGTCTGCCAGAGGACAGTGGGACAGTCAAGTGTCACCAGTAGCCAAACAGCTAGTTTGGGATGCTTCTCACTCATGACTGTTTTCCAACTAATCCAGATCTATGCCTAACCCTACTCAGTCCCTTGCAATTAAAAAAAAAAAAAATCTACTTAGAGAAAAAATATATATATATTTTTTTTTTTTAAGTGTGATGTGAAAAGGTAGCAGAAGAAGCTTTCAACACCCAAGGTGCAGCTAACTTGCATTCTTGCCTGTAATTATTCTATGCACTGAGGAGACAGCCACCTATCCTGAGTATTCATGGGCAGAGGGCTCTGAGGCTGGCCCCAAGGAAAGGTTTACAGTGACTCTCCTGCAAGCTAGATGCTGAAAGTTATCCTTGAATTCAGGCAGGGACATGTCTCAAGGAGGCAAGCTGCAAAATTGGCCTTTTAGCTCTGCATAACAATTTTCTTTAACCAAGCCATTAAGAAGCAGGTTTGAAATACTCATGTAATGCTCTGTAACTGCTTGAGGAGACACTTAGCTCAGGTAATAATAACAACGTCACGGATTCTGCCTAGAAAAATACAGTTGCATCAGCGTTAACTTCAACTCCACTGTTTACATGTCACTGCAATTAAACACAGTTGCGTCCTACCCAGTTTGTATAAATAAATTATACATAATGTTTGCTTCTACCTCAAACTGTGATTATCCAATGGCTGCACAGATCACCCATGGCAAGAGGTCTCAGACTGCTTTAGTGCCAACCAAGAAGGGCTACCTTACACACCATTTGCATGCAGGAGACTTGTATTGCCAAGCCAGTTTGATCCTATCTCTACACAGTATAACACCAGGAAACACACCGCGCCTGCTCAGCTAGTATCACTCCTGCTAAGAAAGGATCCCCAAGGCAGCTACCTGGCTGGAAACCAGGCACAGGGTCTCACGAGTGTTGGTCAAGCTTAGATATCAAGAAAAAGAGATACCACAGTACAGGCAGAAATGCCCACACTGCCTGTCACTTACTGACCACAGCAATGAGCAGCCAAAGCCCTGGTACAGCAGAGAAGCTATGAATCACCTTCCCATGACATGCTGCAAAAAGCCAGCTCTTGAGCCAGCTCTTTCCCATAGATCAGGCCAGATGGCCTATACATGATGAGCTGTTTTGGACAGAGTGTCACATCTGATTGTTCCTCACCTCAGACTGTTACTAAACTCAAGCAGTTATGTCCCAGGCTAATCTAGGGCTAGGGACTACTAAAGTTAAGATATACTGGTTTGGTTTTAACTGAGTTGCCACATTTGTGCAGGAGCCTAGAACTCATGATACCGATTGGAAAAGTAGCACCACATCTCTAGCAGAAAGTGGGCAGTGTTTGCATGACTGAGCTTAAATTCCCCCATGCACTCAGGTTATTTGTTAATTGTGTTTTAAAAAGGGTGAGTTTCAGTTCAGTGTCTCTGACAGACTGCCATACAGCTTGTCTATAAACCACTCCCAACACAAGGCCCAGGTCCTGCCAAGGATGTGCATACACCATCACTGCTATTTCCTCAGAGCGGCTGCTTCCTTCCAGTCTATAACACAAGAAGGATGCTGAATGTCATTTCTCTGACAATGTTTGGCAGACAGTTCCTACCAGGGAAAGCGACTCGGCCAATTTGGATGGGATTGATCCCACCCACCCCGTGTAATTCTCAAGCAGCCCATCTAGTGTCCCAGACCTCCACTTAGTCTAGCCAGATGTATGCGGTTGTTAAAAGCCAGCTTTTCCTCTATGTGCTTCCCTACAAAAGGAATTCCTTTGGAAATTGTCTTTAGCACTGTCTTCCCAACAACACTTACCTTGTCTCCTTCCTCAATGTCACAAATTTTCTCCAGCGTTGAAGGGTTGTAGGTGGGGAACTTCTTTCCACTTGTAGACTCATGCCATTCATTGTTAATAAATATCTGAAGAGAGAGCAAGGGGAGTGGGATGGGGAGGAGGGGAAAAAAAAAAAAACAATCCTGATGTAGACAATTCAAAAAACCACGAGTACTCCTCAAAGGTCCTGAGGCTCTTCAATTTCCATTGATGGCAGAATCAAGCATGTTCAGTCTCTCTCCCAGGGAGACTGTTTGCGATACAAACAGCATTTATCCAAACTAGAACCTGAGTCAGAGAACAGATGAAAAAGCCTTCATGCACCCAGTTAGTTTTGAGTAGAGGATGGGGCCCACACAGTGTAACACCATAATTTGGCAATGAAAAACAGACAGTCTTTGAAATACATCTCCATGGGAACAGCAAGCACACACCAAGAGAAACTCATATGGTTCGGGCAAAAGCAGCCCCTTGTTACATGCTACAACTGGAAGGTCAATGTACAATATTACTTGGTTGTTCGTGTCCTGCCCTGGACTACTTCCATGACTTTCCCCCATAGCACTGTCCAGAGGAGGATAAGGACTGGCTCAGTTCTACCCCACTATGCCCTGTTACAGGCTAGATCAAGCCTCCTACGTCACTTGGAGTCGTCTGTGACAAGATTTAAGTGTTTCAAAATATTGCATTTTCAGAGCAAGAACAAACAGTCCTAGTGTTGCGTAACTCAAAATGCATTAAATACTAGAGTGTTGTTACTCACTGTAAACAGAACATTAATACCTATATACAATTAATTGATTCAACATGCATCTTATCCACACTGTGATCTAACTTGGCAGTGTTATATTTTATAAATATACTTTAAGATTAGATGAAGTAATCTTTATTAGTAGCCTGTTCACGGCTGTAAGCTAGTACTTTTACTTGGAAGTCATCCACATTTGCAGTCTTGTTTATGAGTCTCTACACACCACCAGGAGATTAATGTTGCATCCCTTACATTCGGAATTCCCACTGCTTTGGGTCATAGCTTTCTTTCCTTGTGCAGCTTTTTTCCTGAAAAGAGTTTCTCCTGACTATTTCTGCAAAGAGCACCTGAGATGTAACTGGCATAGAAGCTGCACTTTAAGACCCACCTGTTTCAGACAGGCAGGAAGAAAATTTTGGCAAAAAAGTTGCCAAGTGAAGTCACAAGAAAAGATATAATGTTAGAAATATTAACTAACTTGACACTGATGCTCCCAAACTATCTCTATTATCCAAGGGCTGCATTTTAACATTTACATTTTAAATTCAGTTTTCCTTTGTTTCACTAACAAATAAAGTCATATTATAAATGTGGGAGATATGATAGGAAATGTAAAATTACAGCATCAGGTATATGCTCACACACTAAGGATTAGGAAAGGATGCTGACTTTCCTCCTCATTCAACACTGCATTCCCCTTCCAACCCTTTCACATAGAATTAATGTTCCTAGAATAAGTAGTAAAACTCCAGAGTGACAGGACCAGGCTGTTTTAAATGTAACATATATGCTGGCATCATTCTGGGAATCACACCACACAGCCAGAGTCTTTGGTGCCAGGACTTGAAATCAAACAGAATAGCATATCAGCTGTTCATGCTCCATACCCAGGCTTTGGGACACAGGATTGTGGACAGATCACTTCCATCACACATTCGTGACAAGCATTAAGCTGCTCTATAAGTAAGATCTTTGTTGAAAATTTTTCCTCTCCCCCAGACCCATAACTGGTAGAACTGAAAATAAAAATCTCCGCTAAGCGGAGGAAAGTGTGCCGTCAGCTGTAAACATCTGGTGAAACTCAGAGCTTGTAGAAAACCCCTCGCAGTTTTATGAAAACTGACTGTGGCTCATTATTTTCTCAGATGCACCGGGAGCATCAGATCAAATGTCAAATTCACACTTTTAATTAACATTGGTTTCCACTTTTAAGAGACTACCTTGATACATTTAGTACACAGAGTCTCTGGCAAAACTCCGGAGAATAAAAACCGCGTGTTTTAAAACATACATGGCTGCAGGATCAGATCCCTAAGGAGTATTTAAGAGTGTTCACAACAATAAAAATAACAAAAAACAGAACATCTGGATGTTTAAGAAGAACCCTAATGGCTGTGTCCATTTTGGATGCAGGAAAGAGCTGCTTGTGCAGCATTACGCCATTCTGCAACCAGCAGCTGCAGATCCAATTTGCTGCTAAATGACAAGTTTATCTTACAAAGAAAAAGTAGATAAATTTAGGATGTTAAAAATTAATCTAATCCAGTGATTACCACTAATTGTTAATGTGTTTCAGTCCTTTGGATGCATAATTCAAATCAACACCTCACCGGATAAGCTATCACCGTTTACTACTTCTCACCGCAAGAGAACGAACTTCAAGTTCTGCTTTTTTTTTTTTTTTTTAAATCCTTGATACAGAAATGTAACAGTAATTAATATACTCTTTCAGCTCCTCCAGCACTTTTAGTCCAGCCACATAGTTCAAATTATGGCAGTCAAGGCTGCCTAGCAGCATAACCAGCCAGGGTATTTTCCCTACTGCGCAAGACAGCGGGTCAGGCTGCTGTGGAACAAAAAGCGGCTCGGCTATCACAGAGTTACGGCTGTGTTAGGGAGCAGATATTTCTGCAGCAGTGCTCAGCTCCACACAAACACCAGCCTTGCCTCTGAGGGACAGAGCTGTCAAGCTCAGGAGCCTTTGGTTAAATCCGAAAGGTGAGAAGCAACTGTTTAGTGGTCATTTAAAGGGGAGCTCGATGGAGAGCGGTATGGGCTTGCTGCCTGACTCCTCATCCTGCAGGGAGACCATGGATGAGCTCTGTTGGGACAGTGAGCCACCAACAAGACACACGTGAACACCGCTCCTCTTCGGGAGCTCCAGTCCCAACACAGAGCCCTTTGACAAGGCTCAGTCCTGTAGGACACTGGCCCTTCTCCACGTTCCCTGCGCTCACCAGGGCCCAGGCCCAGCCCAGCCCTGAACCCCCTCCCAGCTGAGCCTCATCCCACCAGGTCAAGGACGGCTGAACACAACCCAGGCAAGCAGCTTCCTCACAGATAAAGCCTTTCTCCCCTCTGCCTGGGCTGGCCCCATTTAAATCCGATTTCACCAAATGCTAACATGATGCTAAAAGCATTTGCTGAGTGGGTTTGGGAGAACTGCGTGGGGTGGTTGGGAAGATGGCCGTCAGGGTGACCGGGAGGGGACAGGCCAGCGTGGCGCAGCAGGCCTGCTGCTAATCGGCACCCAGGCCTGCCACGCTGCCAGGGAGAGGGGCCCACGGGCATGTGGGGCAGCACCTCAAGTTTGGTGTTTGGGTTTTTTCCCCCTAAAAAAAAAGTTGGTTTGTTGGGCTTTAGGGATTGAGGCAACAGCAGCTCCCTTAGAAATACCAGTCACCTGCTTGCTCCAGTCACTCAGCCACACTTACACCCCCATAAACCGACTGTCTAAGGCAGCAGGAGGAATAATAATAAAAAAAAAAAAAAATGAGAAAAATGACAGCGAGGGAGGAAAAACTTTATATTGAAAAAACACCTCACCTGCCTGACACCACCGAGCGCACCAGCAACGGCACGACAAAGACCACCACCCACCATCCCCTCGACAGCTCACCTTGGTGAACTTCACCTCCAGGCTCCGCAGGGGCCGCGGTAGCGGCGGCACCTTCCTGTCAGGCTGCCCGTTCTCCACGGCGCCGTTGAGGGCGGCCATGGCCGCGCCGTCGAGCCCTCGCCGCCCTCTGCCGCTGACAGCCCGCGGCGCCGCCTTAAGAGCGCCGCGCGCCGGGCGCCACCGCCCGCCCCCCCGCTCATTGGCCACCGCCCCGCCCCGCCCCACGCCCCGCCCCCGCCCGCGCCCCGCCCCGCCGCGCGGCCGCGGCCCCTCAGGTAACGGGCGGCGCCGCCCCGCCGAGGCACAGCGGCCGCCGGAGGGTCGGGGGGCGCCAGCGGGCTGCGCCGGCCGCCGCGGGACTCCCCGCAGGGCTCCCACAGGGCTCCCTCAGCGCTCCCCTCAGGGCTCCCTCACAGTTCCCTTCAGGGCTCCCTCACAGTTCCCTTCAGGGCTCCCCTCAGAGCTCCCCTCAGGGCTCCCTCACAGTTCCCTTCAGGGCTCCCTCACAGCTCCCCTCAGAGCTCCCCTCAGGGCTCCCTCACAGTTCCCTCAGGGCTCCCTCAGAGCTCCCCTCAGAGCTCCCCTCAGGGCTCCCTCACAGTTCCCTTCAGGGCTCCCCTCAGGGCTCCCTCACAGTTCCCTCAGGGCTCCCCTCAGAGCTCCCCTCAGGGCTCCCTCAGAGCTCCCCTCAGGGCTCCCTCACAGCTCCCCTCAGGGCTCCCTCACAGCTCCCCTCAGGGCTCCCCTCAGTGATCACACAGCTCCCTCAGGACTCCCTCAGGGCTCCCCTCAGAGCTCCTTCACACCTCCCTCAGGGCTCCCTCAGAGCTCCCCTCAGGCCAGTGGCAAGGAGAAGACCACGGGACCACAGACCCCTCTGCTCAGAAGTGGCCATTGCTCAGGGCCTCTCCCCACGCAAGGGTGGTCAAGGAGGGGGCCTTGTCGCAACCATCCAGGGTGGCACCAAGGTGGGTGTGGGAGGACATGCCCTCTGCTGCCTTCTGCCTCCGCGTCCCACCAAAACCTACCCAGAAGTCAATCACAAGAGGACATTTGCAAAGGTTTCCACAGGAACACCTCCACGTTCCTCAGGCATGGTGCTGGGAAGTGGACTGCCTGGAAGGCTTCCCCCTCATTTGTCATGTTACACTCTCTACAAGGGCCTTTCTCTGCTATTCCTGGTGCCCTGATTTCCTTACTCCAACCTGCTACCTATTCTACTTCACTCCGTGCCTCTACAGAGCTTTCCAGGGCTGATCGAGTTGAGAAGAAAGAAGCATTACATGAAATGTCTGATGTGCAGCTGACAGCAACTCCTCCACATCCTGGGTACATGCATGAGTCTGGGACCGGTGTGACCACCCCAGTTTGACTATCCCAGTCAAAGGACTCCAGCCTATGGGGACAGAACCAGGCCCTTCAGCTGAAACTTCCTACAATGATAACCATTATATTTGTGTCCCACACAGCCAACCTCCAGCACGGTGTTCATAGTAGCATACTCTGAACATCGAGAAAGATGCTGTCTTTCAAGAAGTCCTAAAGGATATGGAACATGTCTAAAGTGACAGATCTAGGCTCTGCGCCTGAACAAGTTAATTATGTATTGCTTAACTTCATTCTGAATAAAATATGTGTAAGTCTTTGCAGGCTGGGGGCCAGGACACTAGGAGCACCCTTACACCCACACACACATGGAAGATAATACAACATATTTTCCATATAACAAGTGGCAAGATGCCAGAAGTTATCTTACAAAATGTTTTACAGAATCTGTAATCCCCAGCAATAGTCAGCACTTTGCTGTTAGAATGCTTAAAAATACTCAGCGCTTCCAAAGGCAGATAGGCTGTGATATCATAGCGGCATTAAGAGTTCGTGCTGATTCAGAAGGGAAAGTACCACCGATGAATCAAACCCCACTTCCCGCAGCTTGCAGGATACTTACGGAGGGCCTCTGCCCAGGTGAAAACCTCTCTGATGGTGCTTGGTTCCTGAGAGCCGCCAATAACACAAAGGAAGATTTCCCCCGCCGCCCCTGTTTACGTATTTTTACCAGATAAATCACTGAATCAATTTCTATTGAACAGTCAGTACTAAAGGACTCATCCTGCCTAGCAGTTGCAACTTGAAATTTTATCTTCTGATGGGAAAGTGCTTCAGTTATAACTAATTTGTCAGAATATTTTTGTATGCAATGGCAGAGTCAAATATGCGTTCTCAGAAAATAAAGAAGAGGTGCATTACAACAGCAGAAACATTTATTTCTAAGCTGTCCATTTTTAACTGTCCAGTTGCTATTTCCTACAAAAGTTACAAAAGCATCAAAGCAGAAGAATCTCTTAACCAAATCCCAGTTTATTCCCAGTCCAAATAAAGAGGTGTTGGGATCCAAGCTCTCCTTAGATGTCATCAACAAAACTAAGAGGTGACTGATAGGATGCGCAAGTGGAAGTCTGAGACGAAATACATTTCTGTCCATTTTAGGGCCAGTAGCATGGTCTGGCAATAGAACATTTTTGGGCCTCTCATATTTTGGCATTTCTGGTTTTACTAGAATGTATCACAACACCAGAGGCAATAATTTGGTAGCTCTAATATCAGGAAGCGAGGAGGAAATTGTTACAGAGGTGACACAATATGGATAGAATTTATCCTTTTCGGTCTGTATTTTGCCCACAGAGATGCTCAGCTGAAGTGGGAAGTACTCTTGTCTTTAGAGGATAAAATATCTTGGTGAGGAGAATGATGACTAGGAAGTTCCAGGACAAACAGTGTCTAAAGAGTCATTCCAGTGGGTTGTCTCGTGTGGGAATAACCTTGTCTCTTATCTCTCATGAGGAAGATTTTTCACAAGACATTCCTGGGAAAATTATTTTAGGCATAATTTCTTCTTCGAGTTATTATTGGTGCAGTGTGAAATATATCTAAGGCAGAAGTTCCATGTGGAAGGCTTGGGGATGTGTAAGATTTTGAAAAGTCTGCACGAAGTGAATGAATTGTGAGTCAGTGACATATGAATGAGCTGAAATAATAAACTTTAACGGATATACATAGCTGTATGAAATGTTTCCCCTAGAAGCGTCACAAGAAGAGTAAGAAAACATTCCACTATCAAGGAATTTTGCAGACACTGACTGGTCCCTTGTTGGGCAAATTCAGTCCTACCTTAAACAGGAACAACTCCACCAGCCTCGGGAGATGTGTCCTCTCTCGCTGGTGCTTCTAGCAGATCCACAGAGGTGGAAACACTCGCTCCTCCAGACCGCTGAATGGTGAGCGCGGCGGGAGGTGTCCTAAAAGCAACCGCAGAGCCCTGATCAGAACAAGAGCGCGCCGTTTTATATTCATTCCATGCTCCGGGAGGGCCACGCCACCATTCAGATAGTGGCACTGAAAAGACGGGTTTTACCTACGTTTGTAACAGTTGATAAATGTGTCAGAAACAGACGCAAGCGGGAAAGTGTCTGTTAATGAAAGGTCACATCACTATTGAGTCACCCCGTTATGTTCTACTGTTGCAGCCGCGTTTGCAGAGATGCCTGCAATATGTATCCTTAACCTGCTGCACTGCCTGCGATAGCTGTGAATTCCCTGGTGCTGTGCTTCTCTGCAGAGCCGTATCTCACAGAAAGTTTCTAGACTGTGAGTACACCAGCTCTTCTCTGCCAGCCAGCACCAAGATTGCCTTTCCTCTCTTGGGTCAGGCATGTACTCTCTTAAATCTGCCACCATGAATTAGACCTGGTCACACTTTTCTGTGCCAGTCTGTCTGTGCCAAGCGCAGTCACAGGACGTGTTCGTGCTGTGATGTAGCTGTCTCCCTACCTGCTATGGATGCCAAGGGTCTCTGCAGGAACTGATTTCTCTGACTTTCCCACCTCATTTAGCCGTAACAAATGGAATACTGCTGGTAGGAACTCCTCCTCCAAATACACTCTGCTCCTGCATACATGTGTCTTACATCCTGGCTCCCCACCAGAGGTTCGGGGGGGTGTATCCCGAGGATCAGTGAAGATGTCTCCAGATGACCTGAGAGCATGATGGCTCTGGACGATTTTGGCATCCTGTCCCACGGGTGCAGACAGATTTGGCAGTGGGGCACGTATGCACCTACAGCACGGCAGTTGGCCCAGTCAGCAGTGGCAGAGCTGCTATCCAAGCTGATATTTCAATGACATTTTGCATCGAGACCTCAGCCTGTGCTTCGAGCTGGCCAGAAGTCCCGTTAGCTGTGTGGAGTAGTTAATGTGGCACAGAGCCAAAGCTTATTCTGCTTATTTTACATATACCCCGAAGCACATACACACACAAATACGTGTGTGAAACAATAGATGCTAAAAGGCCACTGAGGCTGTACGCTCCAGCATTCAACAGCTAGGAGCGATCTGAATTTGCCTGGTTTTGTGCATCCTGATGAGCTGTAATTGAGTTATCCCTGCCCTTTTCCTCCGGGCATCCCCCTTACTCCACATTGGCAATGGTTGCTGCTCCTGAGAGAGCAGCTCCCCTCATGATTTATTCTCCTCTTGTTTCATGTGCAGTGACAGGGTTTTTTACTGCCTGTTATTCAAACTGTGCTTTGAGCACAAAATTATTCACTTCCGTATGGTTTTTCCATGGTGCTCATGACAGCAGTGTCTGAGTGTTTCACACGCAGCATTTCCTTTTCCAATAATTTTGAGAGGATGCTGACCCTGTATTATCAGTGAGGAGAGAAGGCAGACGGCAATGAATTAAAAAAAAGGTCTTAATAATCTTGGATTCCCGCTGTGAGTCACCTACAGTCTGAGTACTTTATGTGATAGGCATTCGGAGCTCAGCTCCCACTGGGCTCAGCTATAGCAGTAATTGTGCAATAAGCTGGATTTGAAGATCTCCCACCTCAGCACTTGATAAGGCAGAACACGCAGCTGATTGGGCATTGCTCCCCGGTGACTTTAATCTGGGAATTTTCTTATTTCTCTGTGCCATATTCTATAAATTTACTATTCCTGTAACTTCATTTTCTCTGTGTAGTTTTCTAGGGTTTGTGTTCCTTTTTCTAAGCAAACTTAAAAATCATTAATTTCATCGCTCTTGATCAAATTCACCACGATATGGGTTAGCAGCAGGACGGATTGTTCTGAACT